CCGGCGGATTCGCGAGACACCGGGCCGTCAGGAGAGGTTTTGAGAGGACTCGGGGGTTCGACACTGGCTCCAGCTACGGAGGAGGATTTCTTAACGCTGGACATGCGGCGGACCTTGGTTGGTGCCTGCCCTTCCTTCGAATTTACGGAAGAGCGTCTACGAGCTGACTTCTTTGGACGTACCATATCTTCTTCGCTGTCGGAAGACTCCAAGACCGGACGGTTCTTGCGGCGGCTCGGATCTACGTTGGATGATGAGTTCTTCGACGTCAAATTCTTGCGAGGCTTCGGTGACTGAGCACGATCGGACGGGCGTTCGGTCAACTTGTGCGCGGGAGCTGCAACTGCTTGCGAACCTTCTGACGAACGCTTGCGCTTTGTCTTCGGTTTGCGGTTTGTGTAGGCGTCGTAGTGCTTCCTGAGGAGCTCACGCTCGACTTGCCACTTCGGCCCACGGATCTGCTCAGAAAGCTCGAAGTAGGTCTTGCCATCACGAGTCTTGCGTGTCGGGTTGAAGTTGTCCTGTTCCAGAAGAAGCTTGATGACCTTGATATGTCCACGGCCGATGGCGGCAAGGAGAGGCGTTTCTTCGTGTTGCATCGGGTCCGGGTCCTTTTCGAGGCTAGTGCCGGAAGCAAGCAAAAGGTTGAGAACATCGATATGTCCGCCACGCGCTGCAACAACTGCACACTCGTTGTTCGGCGGAATACTGGACAGGAAGTGAGCAACTGCAACGGTGTCCCCTTTACGCGAGTAGTTTACGAGATTCTCGATTGACGGCTCGAGGTATAAGAGGTCAGGCCGAGTCTTGTCCTCTGGAGAGACTGTCTGCGGATTATTCTCTGCAGGCTCGTCGTCGTCCTCGGTATCCACGTAATCGCGCATCGCCTTTTGGAGCATAGCCTCAATCTCTTCTGCACCAGGTTTCTCGAAGTCAATCGCATCTATGGCACGCTTGCCGTTCTTGTTTTGATGATGGGGGTTCACTCCACTGTTGAGCAAGGCCTTGACTACCTCAACGTGGCGGTTCTCAACAGCATCGATGAGCGGGGTGTCACCCTCGTCCTTGGACTGACAGTCTTTCCGGCAGCCTTTGCTGAGCAAAAACTCAACAATGTTAAGGTAGCCTTCGAGCGCAGCTTTCTGCAGGGGCGTAAAGCCGCCGTTGTCGGCTTGATCGAGTTCCTCCGGCACCTGCTCGTAAGCCTTCTGTACTGCAGCCATGTCACCCTTTTCGCAGGCTCTGGCTAGCGGAGTCGACCCATATCTGTCAGCGCGTCTTGAAGGCATGGTTGATCGTGCTGGTGAAGCTATTGAAGCGCGATGTGAAGAGCGGGTCGGTTGGAGGCTGAGGAGCTGTGGGTATCGGGGTGATGAGGATTCCGAGGACGAGTCCGTCGGCCAGCTTGGTCGTTGGTCGTTGGCAGAAATCGTAGGGGTTTCCCTTCTCTTTTTGTGACTTGCACTATTTGGTGGTGGGAGGAGGTTTGATTGCGCGGATGCAGAGCGCTTATGCGAGCGAACTGCGGGGGTCACGGGCGAAGAAGGTGATCGAATACGCTCCTTGCCGTGAGCACTGGATGCGCTCTTGGGTGTTGGATCCATTCGAGGCCGTTGCCGGGGAGGCTCGAGGTTTGACGGGCGGCGCGATTCGTCACGTTTGCGTTTGCGGTGTTCAGAGTTTGGCCGCTGCTTGTGGTCTGAGCCTGCACGCGCCGTTGAGCTCGAGATATCAACGGAGTCTCGGCGGGGTTGCGACGCAAGTCCGCTCTGCGTTGAGTGACTCTTCACCCGACCATTTCCATTTCCGTTTTTCAGAGAGTGTCCGTTGTCCCGTCTCTCCGCGCCGTTGCTCTTCCGTTCCTTTCGCTCAGCCGCATCTCCGTTGATGCTTGAGGTTCGACTGGGAGCGTTGCTCCGAGAGGGCTCCGACTTTGTACGCACTGATGGACTTGACGCCGGACCACCGCGGTCGATGCGCTCATGCCTCATGATGCGCTTCTTCTCTGTCGTCTTGGGAGGCGCATGGTCGGAAAGGATGTCGGTCTCCGCATCCGACTCCTGGCCATGAGTACTAGCGGCGTCGCCATTCGCGCCATGTGCAGAAGAGAGAATCGACTCCTTCGCTTCACTTGGCGACGGAGACTTTGATGTCGAGTGGGTATCGGAGCGTCGCTCTGAAGGGCTTCGAGTCGACGAAGGAGGGTAGGGGCGAGGATTCGAGGCACTCTTGCCGTGTGACAAAGCGTTCGAGGCAGGGCCACTGCTGCTGGTCATCACGGGACAGTTAAGGGCGAAGTCTCCAGCCTCATGCTGGCCCTGGATCGAGAGAAATGAAGCAAGAGCCAGTTTAAGGGCTCAGGATGTCGCGAGATGGGATGCGCGAGTAACGTTCGGCGCCTGTCCGACTATGACGATGGAGCGCAGTGATGAGACGAGAACAGGGAATCGCGTCGCGTTGCGTCTCGTTAGCTGGGAGATGAAGAAGCGCTAATGAACGAGATCTGAATGAAAATACAGATGCGATGATGATGACGATAAATGTATAAGGCCAGAAGGCGACGTTGGTGCCTGGTGGACGATGGTTGGGACGGGACGTTGGGTTGCCACGAACCGGTGTTGGTGACGAGGGCGCGAGTGGGTGACGGGTTGAAGTTGGCGGGAGCGATGGGGCTGAAGGGAAAGGAGACAGGGTGAAGAGGGGGTGTTGGGTGGCCTTGTTTTCGCGTGTGTCTGATGATATTCGTGGTCGCGTAGAAAGGGCGTTAAGAGATGAAGGCGGCGTTGAAGAGGCGACTGACGATGTGGTTTCTTTGGGAGAAGGGGAGGTGAGTAGGTTGAGTTGAGAGGAGAGAGGGAGAAGAGGAAGGGAAGGAGCGAAAGAGAGATCAGACCAAGAGAATCAAGCGGTGCACGGGAAAGTGGCTCAACTCACCTACTGCAGGCATCTGCACTGCGCCCTCCAACCCTCTCTCTCACCAACCCTCCCACCCTTCTGCCTAAGCAGTAATGCAGTAATCTACTCTCGTCCACTCCCGGTCGCAGCAAAACACAACTGGAGAAGGAAGAGATTATGCACTCATGATTGGACAATAGAAGCTCCAACACCCCTTCATGAGTTGCTGGGCTGGTAACAGGCCAAACTTTCCATCTCTCTAACGGGCGTGTTTAGTGGACCATCCCCTAATTTTCAGCGTCCCCCCCTCCTAGTTCGCGGCGCCCATCCCCTCCCCTCCGGGCCCTAGCGCAGTGCCACACTTTGTTCCCCGCCCTTGCCCTGGTGACAAGTTTAAAAGGCCCCCAAAGCCCTCCCACCTCCAGTTTGTTTGCATCGCTAGTTCCGCGCTCCTTGCTGCTGTGTCGCAATGGAAGAGAAATGTCATCGGACCGGTGCAGTATGTACAACCGGCCTCGTCTTCTAGCGTATTCCCTTTCTACTTATAACAGATCGCCGGGTCCATTCCTCGTCCTGGCGGATTGTGTTCCCTCCTTTGCCTAGTAAACAAACCCCCCTCCTCATCCCCGCTCACTAGGACTAAAAGAGACCACGCGATCATCTTTCCGCTTCCGAGCCAGGCCCTGTTCGCGCCTCCTCCCAAACAGCGGCACAGCGCTCTCTTTGTCCCGTGTCGTCACTACTTCGTCACTTAATGCTTAGGACCATGGACGCCCTTTACGATCCCATTCTCCTCACACGAGCCTTCTTCATCCTCGCCTCGGCAACGGTACATCTCCACAACCCACCAATACACCCATACTGAGCATCTGGCCCGTAGATTTTGCTCATTGCATCCATACCCGCGCTCCATACACGCTTCGTCGTCTACGGTGCGCGCCAACACGATGTCGACAGCAGTAGAGACAAGTCCATATCGTTCGGCGAGACATCCGGCGACAAGACCACCGAGACGTCCGCCATAGACACCTTCCTAGACCATCTAGCAACCTACCGCGTCCCACACGCCTGGTTCACACACTTCTATCTCTTCTCGCTCGTCAACTCCGGCTTTTGGCTATGGCAACTCTACACCGAAGGTGCCGCAATCCGCTTCATAGCCGCCTACGTCGCCCTCCCGCCCGCAAGCGCGATGTACAAAGAACAAGCCCTTCTCGCCGAATTACTCATCCTATTCACAAGCCTTCGACGTATCTATGAATGCATGGTGCTCGCCAAACCCTCCACCTCGCGCATGTGGTGCCTACACTGGATCCTGGGAATGGCATTCTACGCCATCCTCCCCGTCGCCATCTGGCTCGAAGCCATCCGTACTTCCCCCGCCCCCACCCGAATCCCACCACATCTAACCAAGGCAGCATTCATCCAGCACCCAGACCCCTGGTCTCCCACCTTCCTCCTCCGCCTCACATCATGCACAGCCCTCTTCCTACTCGCTTCCCGCGCCCAACACGCCGTGCACAAGCACCTGTACGCACTCCCTCCAGGGCCCAATTACGTCCTCCCGACGCACCCCTACTTAGCACACACCCTAACGCCGCACTATCTCGCCGAGTGTGCCGAGTACGCGGCGTTGGCACTATTGACGGCCCCAAGGGATGCGTGGATCAATCGCACTATGCTTGCTGCCGCGGTGTTCGTGTGCGTGAATCTGGGTGTTACGGCGAAGGGGACGAAGGAGTGGTATGTGAGGCGGTTTGGGAAGAGGGTCAAGGGGAGGGCGAGGATGGTGCCGTATGTTTGGTAGTGCGAGACTGTTGGATGTAGTCGCAATGAGCTAGATGGCCTCATCGCTCATCGTCAAAATGTTGGAGAAATGATATCACAAATGCTACTCAGTTGCATGCACCTTGGCCAAGCCTCGAATCCTTATCGCTGCCACCGATCCGAGCCCGCCTATCAACCTGAAGGCTTGAATGCGGACGCAGATCTATCACGCCCCATGCGATGCGTCAGCCACCTCACAACCGTTACGAAGCGAGTCACCAAAAAGAAGACTCTCTTGACGGTATCTCATTGTGCAAAATGCAAAAGAAAGAAAGAACCTCCCCCGGGTGGGCTCGAACCACCAACCTCCTGATTTGCGGTTGTGTGGAACACACAGTAACAGTCAGACGCGCTAGCCAATTGCGCCACGGAGGATCTTTTCGATGGCGAAGAAAGCGCAGTTTAAAAATATGACCAAAAGAAAAGCTGGACAATGGATACTGGAAGGATGCCGTTTTGGGAGAGGCGATGAGGAACGAACGCCGAAGTATCTTTGAGAATGACTGATCAAGTTTATAGCATCATTCTAGTTGATGCAGAAGTTACGCGATTATACAAATCCATCTGCTTGTGCTCTCTTCAGAAGCTTGTTGTGCTTGTCTGATACTGAGATGCCAAGCCTATGCTTATGGTAGAACATAAATGCAGAAGTTGAGGAAAGAGCTTCGAGTTCCAATGCGAAATGATAAGACAGAAGCCCTATAGGTATATAGTTATTCCTAAGCCATGCGGACCGCCAGACATCCACAAAGGCGGATGAACATTTCTGCATGCCCACTAATTCACCCGACACCTGAGCAAGCGGCTCCCAGACCTGCCCCTTTTGCAAGCAACACTTCATCAAAGACATCCATCATACACAGAAATCACTCCACAACCCAGGGATTCCCTCCATGAACCTGGCTGGCTTATATATGCATTTACATAATGCACCCAATAAGCCCAATGATATACACAGGGGCTGTCCAAGCCGGAAAGGCCGAGATAAGTGGCGAATATCGTGAGGCTGTAAAGGACCAAGTTGCTAACATTCAGCAGATGGACTTATAAGTGAGATGGCACTGCCAGTCTCATGGTATTGCGCCACTATATATGGCCAATGTGGTATACTACCTGGCGACAACTTTATGATTGCGTCGTCGACACCTCGATGTCGGTACGGCCGGCCGGGTGCGCGCGTTGTGCATAAAGTGATGGGGCTGCGTGTCTGGTACGGAGTGCATAGATGTTGCATTGCTCAGGCAGTTCTGGATCACGGCTCTTTGCTTGCACGGTCTTGCGTAGCTGGTCCGCCGCGAGCGTGGGGATGATATGGTGGTCCGGCCGCGAGGCCGCGATGGAGATGATAGGAGTTCACGGGCGTTTGGACTCCTGACCTCCCCTTCCTATATCGCCCACATAGACACTGGTGCACGGCGACCCCGTGAACTCCTCGATTATTAGCAGTGCTCATTGCAGCGACTTCTCTCGTCGTAAGTGTATACGGACCTTCTTCCAAAATTCTGTGTGGGGTTAAGGGTCAAATGACATCCTCAGCACAGTTTAGTGACGAAGGCAAAGCTAATTCGAAATTTCGACATCAGAAAGTTCAAGATGATGTCCCCATTGATGCGTGTTGCTGTCAGCATGGCTCGCATAAATGCGGAGGCAGAGGACTATATAAAGAAGAAGAGGCGCAGCAAACTCGAGTGGCCCACAGGGGGCTACGACGGCGAGGACTACGGTAGTTTCCAAAGCGACCTCACAACGACTGGAAATACTTACCTCTAACCCCTATAGGTCCCCTTGATCCTGAGCCTAAGATCATGTCGAATATTCGGCCTGACGCGCAGAAGGTGCTCTTCTCAGCGACGTTCCCGCGCATCATGGAGTCGATCGCGCGCAAGGCGCTCGAGGACCCGCTTCAGATCATTGTCGGTGGAAGCAGCGTTATGGTACCGGAAATCACACAGATTGTCGAGGTTCGGCCTGAGAACACCAAGTTTGTGCGCCTGCTTGAGTTGCTCGGCGAGCTGTACGACACGGACGAAGATCCGTGCACGTTAATCTTCGTTGACCGTCAGGGGGCGGCGGATGGCTTGCTTTAATGAGTTGCTGTCCAGCACTTAGGTCTCGGAGACTCCACCGCAGCATCACGCTCAGAAAGACCTTATGGGTCTCATCGCTCGGGCTCGGGCTCGCCCCGGTGCGAAGGCCGATGATGAATCGGCAAGTGCTATACCTCTTTCATTCCGGTTCAGCGGCGCTAACGGTTCCAGAGCGACGGGGATGAACTTGTGGCGGACTGGCACAAGGACTCTGCGCGGAGCCTCAAGGAATATCGCACGATGAAGGGGACTCCGCCGTCGGCCACCAAAGGCCTTCGGTCGATGGTCCGTACCGTAGTGAGCCAGAGGCCGGTCGTAAATCCCATTGATGCCGCAGAGTCGCATCAGAGCCGGCACTCTAGAACTGGACACTCGTCAGATGGGTACGTATCTCGAGCGAAGCTTTGTACCTTTACTGACATGAATATCTCCAGTGGCGAGGCTCCTGAAGAGCAGCCCTCTGACGAGCAGCTTTCCAGCGAGCAGCCATCCAACAAGAAGAAGTCCAAGTTCAGGACCTGGCTCGGCAAGCTCAAAGGCCTATTCTAAATATCCTCGAGGTAGACGGGGTTTGAGCCCAGTAGCGTCGCACATGTACGAGTATCATGCGGAATAAATAAGACATCAAGGAAACGGTAAAAACATCAAATGTGTAAGGTGTTGACTGTTCGTGAAAAATGTGAAAATTATAACGTCATGACTGCATTGGATAAGTATAAGCAGGGCAACTTCTGTGTACCGCGGATGCCCTCGTAGTACTCAGCCAAGGGAATACGCCGTGATCTCTGTAGGACAATGCTCGTCATCGATTTCGATCTTCTCAACCACATCCTTCGTATCATTCCACGGAACGGCAAAGAGACCTGAGTTGATCTGACACATTCTGATCTCCGATATGTGGTCCTGGCGAGCGAAGTGGGAGACCTGTCGGAGCAGATCCTCCATTGCCGGACCGGTGTTCCGAAGGATCTCGTGAGGGGGATCTTTATAACGACCAAAACGCGCGCTGGTAAAGAGACAACCAATGTAGTGTTTCCGACCAGTCTTCTCCAAGGGCGGAATTAGCTGTGCGGTTCCCAGGAGACTTTTCGGACTGCGCTGCTTGCAGTGGTTTACATGCGCACGGAAAGCATTTGGATACTTCTGTCGAAATGCCGCTGCAATCCCTGCGCCCCAGTTGCCGACACCGTTGCAGGCGTGGATGAGAACCGTTCCGTCAGGAGCATCGAACAGGTCGCCGACGATGTCGTTGATAACAACCTTCCGGGAAGTAACGGTCGAGTCTTGACGGCTCGCCTCCTTTTCAGGAGATTTCTCAGATTCATTCGTACTTCCTGGCTTCCCTGAGAGACTTTTATTGTCTTCAAGTTCAGATCCAGCGACATTGTCTTGGTTCGCCTCTTTTGAAGCAGGTGGAGTCCCTGATGCTTCGGATGAGGAGGGCTTGCGCCAAAAATTGAGAGTGGTTTGTTTGAGAGGTTTCGTGATCCTATTGGCATTCCTGAACTGTGACATGTTGAATGACAGAGATGGGACTGTTAGGGTAAATATCAGAGCAGAGGGGAAAGGGCAGTGAAGCTGAAGCCTACACAACGTCTTGCGTGACGTTAAGTTGTACGGCTAGGCTGGTAAGTTCCGCCCGACCATTCAGGCCGCAGCAAACAACGCTGACCAGCTCGGCCCGGAAAAACCCGACCCGACGGCGGAATCCAAGGGACCAAGGATTGATTTGCACGACCTCACCACTCTCCAGCACAGCAAGCACACCCGCAGCTCCCCACCGCTCACGCGACGCCCCACGCACCCCTCTCAACATGCCGGCCCTCACATCCACGGCGAGCACGCTCGTCCGCAGCTGTGCGCGCCAGCAATTGCCCTCGGTCCTGCGCGCCTCGTCCGCTGTGGCCCAGAAACGCCACATATCCGAGGTCTCGCAGACTTCGTCTTTCGACAGCCCATTCAAGGCCCATCGCACTACGGAAATCCCCAGCTTTGCGCACTACAAGTCTTCGGGCGGCGAGAATGGCGGCAAGCTGTTCCAGTACTTCATGGTTGGGACTATGGGTGCCGTCTCCGCTATGGGCGCGAAGGCGACTGTCCAAGGTGCGTCAATTGGGGTCAATTGGGCGAGCACGACCGTCCTATCTGTCTACAAGCCGCCCGGACTATTCGTTTACCCCTAGGCTAACTCGAGCAGACTTCCTGGTGAACATGTCTGCCTCGGCCGACGTCTTGGCGCAAGCCAAGGTCGAGGTTGATCTCGCTGCTATTCCCGAGGGCAAGAACGTGAGTTGGTTATAAGCCGGTGGGAGACACAGACACTGAGAAGTTGGCAGGTCATCATCAAGTGGCGTGGCAAGCCCGTGTTCATCCGCCATCGCACCGCCGAGGAGATCCAGGAAGCCGAGGATACCAAGTGGGAGTCTCTGCGCGACCCCCAGCCCGACTCGGATCGCGTCCAGAAGCCCGAATGGTTGATTATGCTTGGTTTGTCTTCCGCTGCGGAATTGGACCATACTGACTTTAACAGGCGTTTGCACGCATCTTGGGTGTGTGCCCATCGGCGAGGCTGGTGATTTCGGCGGTTGGTTCTGTCCTTGCCACGGTTCACATTACGACATCTCTGGGCGCATAAGAAAGGGACCCGCCCCGCTCAACCTTGAGGTCCCGGCATACAGCTTCCCCGAGGAGGAGTCGGTGGTCATTGGTTAAATGCCAAGCCTAATACCGCTATACATTGTATTCATAGACGCGTGAAGAGGTAGGGCCGCCAATGGATGTGAGATAGAGGGTGTCATGCGCCTGTAAAAATTCGGGGTAGCGCTCAGCTCTGTCAATTGGATCTGCACTTCTGTCTGCTAAAACTGATATTCTATTTGCTACATTTCCACGACTCATCGCCTTCTTCAGCGTTACGGCTGTGGCGCATATGGGCAATCATAAGACGGTCTCGAGTCCATAGCTAGTTCATTGAGGCATAAAAACTCCTAGTTGAACCCACAAGGAGCCGCCGTGTTCATGGGCTACTTACCGTCTACGGAACAATGAAGCTCGCGCGAAAAGTCGTACTTGAACCTACTGGGGCGCCCGGGCTCCTTGACGATAGATCATGTGGTCGCGGTCGGGGCCCGTGCCGACATACTTGACCTAGGATCGGTCAGCTTGCCTCATGCCGTTTACGTCCGGTTGCTGAACGTACCGGGATTCCAGTGAAATTCTCGATGAACTCGACGTATTTGCGGGCGTTGGGCGGGAGGTCGTACCACGCGCGCTTACCAAAAGTAGACT